AAAAAAAAAAAAAAAAAAAAAAAAAATCAGATGGTCACACATGTCTGTAATGCAAGCAGTTTGGAGTTTGAGACAGGAGGATCATAAAGGAATTGTTTGTTTAACCTTTGAGCAACCAGTCTGACTGCATCATTCAGGCTGGTTTTGAACTATGTAGCCCAAGGCAGCCTCAAATTCATGGTTTTTCTCCTGTCTCAGATGCGATAATGTTGGGATTACTGATGCATGCCACCATGGCTAGTCTTGGGACATGTGTTTGGTTCCAGTCTGGGAAACTTCTTGTCTCTACATCATTTGACCCTGAAATAAATCTCCTTACTTTGGTCAGATTGGCCTACATCTATGTATCCTATGAACATGTGGTGCTCCATGTGCCTCATCCTCCTGAATTCTGAGATCACAGGCATGCAGTAGGGAAACCCAGCTGGTGAACTTCTTAGCATCCACTCAAATACCTTAAAAATGCTGGCAGTGCAGCTCAGCTCTTCCTAGGTTCAACCACTAGTGCTAGGGGAAAAGCAGTCATCATTTTTCTCTCTAGCAACTTCCATTTAGTTTCTTAGCATCATGCAAATGAAAATTTTCATGTCCTTAGACCTGTTCTCTCAATAGCAGAGGAATCAGTTATGTTGGGTCATGCACAAGATGTCAGAAGAAAAGCCCAGAGCCCCCTGTTCAGCACATTCCCACCTCCCCTTCTAACTGGGGTACAATTTCCTTGACCTTACTCTTGTGCATATTTCATACCATCAGTGGCTTCCCTCTGCCAACTTCACTGAACACAAAATCTGCTGTTACATGACAAAGTCTTGTCACCACTTCACAGGCAGAGATTTCTGTTCTGTTCTGTTCTCAATGTCGATGATTACATCATTGTTGTTTTATTTGTTTTTTGAGACACTGTCACACTATGTAGTGCAGGTTGGCATACAACTTACCAAGTGTAGGATGCTCTCCTAAATCTCAGTGATCCTCTTGCCTCAGTCTTCCTAGTGCGAAGGCACCACCACACTTGGAGAAATTGTTCTCTTAACACAAACTGTCATAAACTTGAATATATTTTTGTGGTGGCCCTACAATTTTTTTTTTTTTTTTTTTTTTTTGCGGTACCAGGAATTGAACTCAGGATCCTGTGCTTGCCAGGCAGTGGCCCTACAACTGAATTTAGAGATTCTGTTTCAAACTATGTGTTTTGCATATTTTTTTAAATTTTATTTATTTATTTATTT